AGCATACTAAATGCCACATGAATCTTTTTTGTATCCGATCTAAGCATAAAGAATGCGTTGCATAATGTGGTCTCCAAACTACAGAACAGTATTCTAAGATACTGCGTACTAAATTGTTGTAGAGCATTATTTTGGTTATTTTGTTTTGGTTTCGGTAAAGAAATCCTAACATTGTGGTGCCACATTTTGTAATATCTTCCATATGCGGTATAAATGTGAGTTTGCTGTCAAATATGACGCCTAGAGCCTTGATCTTTATTTCCTCTAAATTATTGTCTATGTGATAATTTTAGTAAACTTATTTTCATTTACCGAGCATATTTTACGTAGAAACATTTTTTGCATTGAGATCCATTTTATTCAAATTATACCATTAAAAGAGATTTTCGAGATCACACAAGTTTATGTGCATCATCTATGTTTTCAATTATTCTTCAAAATGTAAAGTCATCAGCATACATGTAAGGTCCAGAGAATTTTACACAAAGGCAGATCATTAATATAAATATTAAATAAAAGTAGGCCCAGATAAGATCCCTGTTGTACACCAGATGTGATTTTATGTAAACTCGACTTAAAGCCATTGATGACTACATAAAAACTACAGTCCGTTAAATAAGACCAAATCCAACATTTCACCAATCCAAAAAGACCAATCATTAAACCAATACATATTTTTCAGTTTTTCCAGGAGTACACTATGTTTTAATGAAGTTTACTAGATTAAAATTTGTTGATCTACATTGAACAAATCCGTGTTGCTTATCACTAAGTAATTGCTTAAGATGATCTTATAGAAAAGGACATATCAAAGCTTCAAAATTTAGTTTTCGACTGAATCTTATTCCCGATTTATGAATAGGAATAAACTTTGGAATTTTCTATTTAGTCGGGAAGACACTTGTTCACAGCTATTTATTGTAAACCAATGACAGGGGGTATACTAAATATTTCGCACATGCCGCTATAAAACGGATGGGATTCCATCAGGACCAGGGCCTTTATTACAGTCAATACTTTTTAGTTTGTATTAAAGTGATTCGTTATCGATAACAATAGGCGAAAGATGTAGACTATAGTTTTTTAAAATAATATAATAATATATATAATCACGCCTCTTTTCCGTAGGGGTAGGCAGAGACCACTTCTTTCCACTTGCTACGATCCTTACATACTTGTTTTGCTTCGTCCACTTTCATTATTCCCTTCATACATGCTCTACGGTTTAGGGTACTCTTGACCTGGCCTTTTTTCAAGACATCCCTGATTTGGTCTAGAAATGTACGCCTAGGTCTACCCCTTCCAACACTTTCATTCACACTCGCCTTATACACTTTTTTCGTCAATCGTTCTTCATTCATTCTCTCGACATGGCCAAACCATCTCAGCATACCTTTCTCAATTTTTGTCACTGCATATTCTTTCAGACCACAACGTTTCCTTATCCCACTATTTCTTATCCTGTCACTCAGTTTAACTCCTATCATACTTCTTAATGCTCTCATCTCAACTGCATTTATTCTGCTTTCATGTTTCTTCTGCCATACCCAACTTTCACTTCCGTACATGAGTGTCGGAACCAACACCCCCTCATGCACAGCCAAACGAGCCTTGTTAGACACATTCCGACTGCTCATAAAGGAGTGCAAAGCTCCATTCACCATGTTTACTGCATTCACTCTTCTTTCGATATCACTCTCACACTTTCCATCTCTTGTAAACTTTGATCCCAGATACACAAACTCTTTCACCTGTTCAATTTGTTCATCTTCAATCACAATATTGCAGTCTGTCACTGCCTCATCTTTTTCAAACACCATCACTTTCGTCTTCCTTACATTCATCTTCATTCCCTTTCTAACAACAGCTCCACTCATAGCAGTTACCATCTCCTGCAACTCCTCCGCCGAAGACGCAAGTAATACTTGGTCATCAGCATAGAGAAAACATTTGACGAGTAACTCATTCATTCTCAACCCACATTCATTCTCTTTTAAATCTGTCAAGCAATTGCCCATGAACAGATTAAACAGCCACGGTGACGCTACACATCCCTGTCTAACACCTTTTTCGATATTAAACCATTCAGTGTATGTCCCGTTTATCCTTACACAAGCACTAGAATCCCTATAAAGCGATTGCAATGCTCGTATGAGGATACTGCTCACGCCGTTCACGGACAGTGCTGACCACAATTAATTCCTCACCACTCTATCATAGGCCTTTTCTAGATCTACGAACGCGCAGTAGACTTTCTTGTTTTTAGCCAAACACTTTTCGGCTATGCACCGCAAGGAAACGACCTGATCCGTACATCCCATTCCCTTTCTAAATCCCGCTTGTGCATCCCATACTTTCTCGTCTGTTTCATTCACAACCCTTTCAATCAACACTTTCGCATACAATTTACCGACGACGCTGAGAAGGCTTATACCGCGGTAATTTATGCAGTCCTTCCGTCACCCTTTTCCCTTATACAATGGCACGATTACGGCTTTGCACCAGTCTCCCGGTACTTGCCCATTTCGCCAGCACAGATTGAAAAGGCGGTACAGCTGACTAGCCACCAGGCCCTGTCCAGCCCTCAGCATCTCGACGGTAATCCTGTCATACCCTGCAGCCTTACCTAATCTCATACTTTTTAATGCTTTCACTATTTCATCCATGCTTATCTCATTTTCATCAACATTTATATTAGTTTCCGTGGAAGGTGGCAGGTGCTGTACCTGCACTTCCTCTCTTTCAAACAAACTTTCAAAATACTCTTTCCGTCTCTTTAACACATATTCTTCTCCTTTTATAATGCTCCCATCTTGACTCCTGATTGTACTCAGCTCCGACGTTTTTCCTCTGGCTGTTTTGATGGTTTTCCAGAAAAACTTAATGTTTGACTGGAAATCTTCAGTGAGCCTCCTATCGAAATCATGCTTTCGTTCTTCTTTCTCTCTAGACACAATTTCTTTCGCTTCTGTTTTCAATCTTTTATACTTCGTTCTTGCTTCGTTTATCTCGTCATCCGTTGCCTTTTGAACTTTTTGGTTAGCTTTTGTTGCTAACCAATCCAACCACGCTTTCTTCTTTTCTTGCACAACCCTTTGTACATCTTTATCCATCCACACGTTATCATTCTTTCTTCCTTTCCTTCTTTTAGCTACCCCGCATACCTCAATAGCAACATTTACGAGCCCTTTCTTAAATGTCTCCCACAAATCTTCAATCACTCCTATCTCTTCTATCCCTTATTTTTAGTTTTTTAAATAAATTAAATAATTAGAGTGAATGTAATTATTCGAAGCATTGTCAACACCATCGGTATATACAGATAAAAATTGAGATGAGAATAGGTCACATACTTTGAATAAAACTATTTTTTACGGATTTTATCGCGTTTAATTTTACTATTTTAATTCCCGACGTTTCGGGTGCTTTACAGCAACCCATGGTCCCTCCCCGTGACCATGGGTTGCTGTAAAGCACCCGAAACGTCGGGAATTAAAACAGTAAAATTAAACGCGAAGAAATCCGTAAAAATAGTTTTATTGAATGTGTAGTGTTCGCGTAAATATAAGAAATCATTAAGTTCACATACTTCTTCACCATTTGTAGTAGTTACATTTCCGTCAGTCATTAAAATAGGGTATGCACTAGTACCACCGCGTTTGTTTTTTATGAATGACCGCAATGATTTAGAGTTAGTGGCTATTTGCTTCTCCAGGTTGCTAATAACGGTTATAGCACTCTGTTTCCATTCGTGCACAACGAGAACTTAATAATTTTAACTTTAATTCATCCGTAGAGTTTCCATATTTTTTAAAACGACACCTGATTTTATATTTATCTTTAAGGGTTCTAATGAGACTTTTATCAAACCTAGGTGGGTATTTATTATTTCGTCTCTGGGACAAACTTTGATATAATGGCATTAATTTTACAATAGAATATATCAAGCACTACATATTTTCTTTCTAGCTGTGTTCTTTTTTTTTATGTCGCATGCCTTCATAAATTTGTTAATTTGTGTTCCAATTAATGGACGTTTTGCGAATGTTGTGCAAACGGCGCATTCACTTATATAAGTGCCCAATCACACGCACTGTTTCCTTTTTGCTAATCTAAAGCTTTTGAACCAGTCTAAAGCTAATCCTCTGATTTCCACGTTTTCTACATTTCACGTGTTTAACATTTGGTTTTCACTCAAGAATTTTTATAATAAATTACGTATGTGTAAACTTCTTAACAAATCCTACATTACGACACATAATATTTTTAAAATGAAAAATAATACCGCCAGATCAGTCTTAATCTTAATAACATACCCCCGAAGTTGAAAGAAAACATATATATTTATTGTATAATAGTATATTAAGTTATCTATATTCATTAAATAATTGTATCTTATTTATCATTAGTTATTAAACATTTGTACTTTATATTTTTTCATCCTTTCTCTGTCCCAGGAATGATATATGAATATTTCGATTGTATATTTTATTGTGTCTAGTATATCGCGAACAGGGAACTTTCTAATAGCCTCCAAATGGTTACTTGGATTCTGGATATTGCATAAAGTATCCTATGCGTACATATATAGTATCCACTGTTGCGTTTTTGTAAATGAAAGTGTGCAGTAAAAGCCTACCAGGCTGAAGTTTTTGTAAAATTTGGAGAATATTTTTTCCACTCCTACAAATTTAATAAAATGTCAAGTGCTGTAGATATTTGTACAAAGACAAAACATCAAGAATAGTCTTGTTCAAAAGCAATACAAAAATGTATATTTATTTATAATACATTTGTGTTATTGCATTAATAAGGTAATATAGGTTTACAAAATTATTAGAATCGTGTTAGTATTTCGATGAGTAAATTTATTGATATTGTTCTTCGTACTGTAACAATTATCTGTAAAAGGTTATGACACTGCAAATTGCATTTATGAACGTAAAAACAAATATATATAAAAGCGATAACACCATTTAAAACATTATTTAAAATAAAAAATGAACATTAAACCAGTTCTTCTTGCTCTAGGTCTTTTATTATGCAAGGTAAGAAAACTAATTGGTCATTTAAATATAAAAATTTATATTTTTCTCTTTAACGGTTTCATTAAATACACGTTAACATGTACTGATAGTATGCTTGCAGTGTCTATTAAATTACATATAAAGTTGTTTTTCTATAATTATAAATTTTCTATTTCAGATTCAAGCGCAGATTTGTGGCTATGGTGACCCAACAATAGTAACATCCTCCATTTCTGGATTAGCACCCACAAATTGTCCACAATTAATATCAGCACCTCAAGTGTTAACTACGCCTTTATTCGGAACAACAACCACTGACAATTCCTTATCAAACACTCTCGCGAAGGTTCTACAATTACTTGTTGTCAGTGATTTGATTCAATCAACTTTAAAAACAATTGTAGGACTTTGCTGTGCGCCATGTTCTAATTCTATTTGTGAACCATTTATTTCTCAACCGATTGTGTGCAAACCTACAATTGATGTGATTACTCCAGTAACAGAATGCATACAACCACCATGCTGTCCAGTAATTGAATGCATACCGTCATGTTCACCTACTCGTATAATAGAATATGTACAACCACCATGCTCTCCACTAATTGAATACATACCGTCATATACACCTGTAGCAGAATACATACAACCACCATGTTCTCCAGTAATTGAATACATACAGTCATGTTCACCTCTCATTGATTATACATCGCCGTGTGGTCCAGTTATTGACTGGGCGCCACAATGTGGCCCTGTAATTGATTACACACCATCATATGGAACAGTCTTTGAATGTACACCTTCTTGTGGACAATTCATCGAGCCTCTGCCGAATTTCTATGGAGGTATAACAGAATGTATATCACCTATGAATAATCTACCAACAATTCCTGCTGCAGTTTCGAATTGCTGCGGTGGTGTGCCCGAATTTATATGTCCTGTCACAAACGTTGGACCATTGTATACGCAATCGTTTTCTTCTAATAATTTTGGTGGACCGATTCAAATGCCACCTCAAGTACCAAACTGCTGTAATTATTTTCCGGACATTATAAGCCCTGTATGTAATACAGGCCTAGTTCCTACAGAGATATTATTACCTTCAGCTATTCCAGCTCAGATAATATGTAACATTGAAAGCATACCTATTTCATTGCCGCAAGTAAGTATGAACGTGGAACCCTTACCCTGTGGATTTGGGTGCAATCAATTCACACCTAATTCATATTTCTATTTTACTGAATAAGTACTATATTAAATAATATATAATTTATTTAACATATATCCAAGCATGTACAATTTAGTGTTATAAGCCCGTGTAATTTGACTTTTATATAGGAGGTGTAGCTACTTGAAAAATATGTCTGTTTTTTTTTGTAATTAATATTGTCCCATTAAAAATATTAACATCATAATAATGTTTTCTTTTTAATAAATAAACATAAACAAAAAAAATCTTTCATTTATTTATATTGAATAATATCATATACATATATACATTAAATTAAACTAAGAATTCTTGTATAATTATGAAAGAATTATTCGTTTTATTTGTTTGTAAGCGGTGAAAATCTCTTTTTTATTATTTGTAGAACATTATATAAAAATATTACTTCCGTGCGGAATTCGAACACCACTAACCTAAACAGCTAGCAAATTTTGTTTTGATTCCTTTGAAAGCCGTCGAATATGACTCTACACTATCGGGAAATATTGCGTTTTATGATAAAAAAGAGCGCGGGAAAATTTTACGGTTATTTTACATACTTCTAAAACTTCTTAAACCTTTCTAAAACGGTATATTCATGGGATCTGAGGGATAATACGGGCTGCTTGTGTTAAGGTTAAAAGCTTTGCTTTGGCGATCATGACTTAATATGTAATTAAATATAATTGCTCCTCGCTCACCTGATACTCCATAATTACGCGATAAGTTAAAAGATCAGATGTCTAGTCACACGGCTACAAGAAAAATATTCGAACCCGATCACCACATATGCTGTTACTAAAATCAACTTCAGATATCATTAACATTCAGGAACCAATACTTAGTAGTATGTTGTCCACGTACTTCGCCGTCCGTACCAATATGTTTATTTTAAAAAACTGCGGTTTCCAACCTGCTTGCCAAGCGTAAGTGTACTGTGTTCTGTGTTCAGCAGTGGATTTTCATATAGGTTGTAAAAGTAAAGCTAGGTATGCGTGTAAAAGTAATATGACGATAAACAACACTGAAGAGTGTAGAGAGCCAAATGTAATGAGGGCTAATTATTATCTGCTCACCAGATGTCGCTAGTTGACACTGAGGTAAAGTTTTTTTGTTACACAATGAAGTTTAATTGAGAAGTTGGTTTTTAATAAAAGTTAATCAGTTTCTAGAGTATTATATTAATACATAAAAAATACGTCTGTGGTTTACTTTTAAATTTTTTGCACATTTTTAATTTTTTTTTAATATTTCTACTTTTATGAATATCTGTGCTTCGGTTTATTTATTTTTAATCTTATTATTATAAAATATAGCCAATAGTACAGAAAGAAACAATAACCTTTACATTTTCCGAACAAATTAACTTTCCCGCTATGAAATCTGTCAAATATTATACCTCAAGTTCTAGTGGCGCCGCCCTGGTGGCAGAAAAAGTCGTGGATGCCCTCAATATAGGTTGTGAGGCATTTGATCTTAATTATTTAGGAGGACAACGCATATCTGTAACGTTCAAGTTAACTGCAGGTGTCTATGGACTGTAGTAGCCACTTACCGTCAAATGGACTGTAAGTTTATTTATCACTTACGTTTTATATAAAATAAAAACAAGTTATAATTTTGAGAATACATTTATTTGTTAAACCCAAGGTTTTACTACTCAACTAAAATTAATATAAATAAAAACCTAATTTACTCAAATTATTCAATAAATTTTAAGATATTTGTATATAATCCATTGTTACCCGTGTTTCCTATTGGGTTCGAAGGAACTGCTGAAATATAACCAGAAGAAGGAATAACGTTAGGACTAAAAACAGGAGATGATATTAAGTTAGGTGGAATAGTGTTCCAATAAAGAGGATTTGCACAACCGCATGAAAATGAAGAAGACAGCACCTCATTTAAAATTGGAGATGAAAGCCGTAAAGCCAAATCTGAAGTTCCTTTAGTATTTTGTAATAGATTGCAAACGACCATTAGTTGCAGTGCGTCAGCTAAGTTTTTACAGACAGCCGGAGAATAGTCGGTTATTATAGTTGTCGGTGCTGGAAATAAATTCGTTATTGGTATTTGGTGTACGGAATTACAAACATTACAAGGAGTTTCTACTATCGTATTTTGTGATGTAAACGTGGTTGCAATAGGTTGTGTAATAATATTTCTAGGCGTTTCGCCGATAGCTTCATTTATAAGGTTGCATGGCGATTGTCTGTTTACACATTGCGCAGTTGCAATCTGAAATAAAAAGTAACGGTTACGTTAAAATTTATGCAACTTAGTCATCATCATCATAATATGAACACGATCCTGGCCCTATTACATCCATCGACTGCAAGTGTTACCGGCTCGTCACTTCATCTAGTTGGGGTAACTCAACACTTCGCTTATAACTATAGTTGTCAGTTTAATTTTTTGAAAATTTGTATATTTTCTACAATTTGGTTTAAAACATACCTATATAATTTTAATCAGGATTTTTCGAAAGTTTTTATAGAATAACAAACAAGCACACAGTCTACCTATATACCTACCACCTATATATAGTAAGTGAATGCTGTGGTCCATAAACTTCTACACTTATCCTCAATTAAGAATCAAAATGTTGTCACCCTTAAGGACTAAGATGGAATACCCCGTTTCCAGTAAAAAGGATCTCCGGTTCTCTACACTCACCATACGAAACACAGCAGTATTAAGCTGCTATTTTACGCTGGTATTCTGTGAGAGCGTGGTCCTACCCCTGTCGAGCCGACCCATTCATGCTACAACCGCAATGTAGCTGCAACGTGGCTCTACCACGTGTAAAATGTATTTTCTACAATTTGTTTTAAAACAAATATAATTGTAATCAGGGCTTCCTGAAAGTTTTTCTGATATTATAGATAGTGACTACAGCCTGTATACAATTGCTACCAATTTTAAGTAAAGAAAACTTGAATTGCTATGTCAACTATGAGGATGAAGATAAAATGCCTCATAACCTGAAATTATCTTGACTTGCTTACTCTGCAAACCGGAACACAGCAGTGGGGTAGAATAGATTGAAGTTAAAATGTGGCACAAATTAGATGGATGACTAACAGGAGCATTATCAACTTTTAAAAAACTTAAAACTCTCAAAAGATTTATATCGAAATGAATATATATATATATATATATATATATATATATATATATATATATATATATATATATATATATATATATATATATATGTAAGTCTATAGTTTACAAACGAAATTATGTATAAATTACAAATTGCTTATTACCTATAATAATAAATTAGCTTAAGGTTTTTCGCATCGTATTTAATTCCTTATAATAAGATTACATTATAGTTTAGTAATTTTATAGTGTACCTAATGAATTTACATATCTGTGTCTATGTCAATAAGCTTATCGATAAACTAAAGGAGTATATTGGTTATTGATGATACTCGTAAATAATTGTTTTCTTTAACTCGCAACTATTGCATTATGAAAACTAATCCATGAACCAAAGAATGCCTCAAGAGTACAATAAAATGATCTGATTTCCTCCATCAATTCACACATTTTACTAAAAAAAATCTTTGTTATTTTTTTTAATAACCGGATCCAATATCCATGATAGATTAACAAGAAATATTATGTTTTATATTTACGGGAAAACTACATAGGAGAAGGTTCGTTAAAGTGGCTACTATATATTTAAGAAGCATAATCCTGAATTATTTACACCCAACAGCATTCCATACACTGTCTAATGTCAACTATCGTCAAGAGGTCACCCTGCATTCCATGACTAGAATATAAATCACAGAAAAGCTTACCTGATATGGTACGACAGTTAAACAAGACAGTACAAAAAATATCTTCAACATTTTGTAAATATATTACAAGCTCGTAACTCGAGCAATTTTTTCCAAAGTTTATTCCGGTTTACTTGAAAACACAGAATTCACTAATATTTATGTGAACCTTATCTGAATATCGTGTCCTATCAAAAACAATTTCGTTAAAAAATTAACTAACAGTTTCTCTTTTAGATTGTATTATCAACTAATTTTGCAATAATTAAATAAATATACATTATGCAAAAGTCAATACCAACTGTAAATATTATAACGAGAAACTGCCAAGTTGCAAATACCTTAAATTTAAAATATACTAGCTTAAAGCTGCTAGGCACAAGCCTCCTCTTATTTTTGAGAGGTTTTTAGGGAAAAGAAGTTGAAAGAAGGAAGACTGGCGCTGGGAAATGTCACTTAGTGGAGAGACGTGCTAAGACTTAAAGGCTTATTACATTACACGATTTCGCGGGCCCTGCCCGCAGGGACAGGGTAGTGTAATAAGAAACAGGGAGTCAGGGTCCCTAAACAGGGCGACCGAGTGGTTCCGACCGCCCTGCTTCCCTGCCGCGCTGTGGATCGTGTAGTGTAATAAGAGACAGGGAGGCAGGGAGATCAGTTGCGTGGCCGCATGCGCAGAGTCTACACGTTTGTTTATTTAAAGTTCTACTATGTCGATCTACTCTCTAAATCATTACTCGTATTTATGTCATGCGCTAAAGAAAAAGATCCTTCTCAATGTCATCGACATCTACAAAGATATGCTTTATCAAATCTTGATAGGAGTTTCCAGTGGCCAAAATCGTAAAGTGACAACCAATCTCTCTTAAAAAAGTATTCTTTTGAATAAAACTTCTTTTACGGATTCTATCGCGTTTAATTTTTTTTTTTATTAATTCCCGACGTTTCGGGTGTTTTACTACCCATGGTCACGGGGGACTTGTTGCATCCGAAACGTCGGGGATTAATTTAAAAAAAAATTAAAGGCGATAGAATCCGTACAAGTAGTTTTATTCAATGTGTAGTGTTCGCGTAAATATAAGAAATCATTAAAGTATTTATTTTCTATTAAAGGCGTTACTAAGCTTAATAACTCGTCGAATTGGTTTTCACCTACTCTTTAAAATAGTTTCGTAGGTCTGTTGAGTCCAAAACGCTATTCGATAGTTTTTCTCTGTGGAGCAAATATTTTTTCATCCACATTCAACTTTCCTTCCCTTTTTAGCTTGGCCTTGCACGTTACCGCCAGCCAAAGTTTTTTTTTATAGGATAGGGTGACAAACGAGCACACAGTCCACCCGATGGTAAGTGGTTGCTGTGGCCCATAGACACCTACATTTATCCTCGTATGCGAATCAAAATGCAGATGCGTTGTCACCCGTGAGGACTGAGATGGAATGCCTCTTTTTCAGTAAAAAGGGTCTCCGGTTCTCTACACTCACCATACGAAACACAGCAGTGTTAAGCTGCTCTTTTACGCTGGTATTCTGTGAGAGCGTGGTCCTTCCCCGGTCGAGCCGACCCATTCGTGCTACAACTATACTACTAATATAGCTGTAGCATGGCTCTACCACGTAAAAAAAACAATAAAGCAATTTTTTGACGTATAGATAAAGTCTGCGCCATAATGCTAGACGTGCAATCATTTCCACGTTCGAGTAACAACTGAGGCAGGAAGCGATTTCTAGCGTAGTGTAATAAGCAGCGACCTGCCTGGTAGGCAGGGCACACGATGGACAGGGCCCGATAAATCGTGTAATGTTGTGTAAATGCCTTTTAATGGTGATTTTAATTTGCTTTAAGATAATCTTGTTAGTATCGAAAATATATATACGTGTCCTAATGCTTAACTTACCTTCCTCTCTGTTCTGCTATCGGACAGACAGCCGCTCGACAGGTCTCCAACCATTTTCTTGTCAGAAAACTACGCATTAACTAAACGATTTGTTTTGTCGTTCATTATACGTACCGAGGTTATTATTATAGGAGGATAAATTGAATAGGAGTGGAATAACTTGCTACCGTTTGTTTTTCCCCAATCGATTACAATTTAAGTAATTCAGGATAAAGGTGAATAGAATTTTGCTAAGCTAAACCTTTGCGATTTACGATTTTTGCCTCCGTCACAAATTGACATCAGGTGGAATAGTAGTCAAGCACTGGCTTAATGGGTGAAAACAGTTAATTTGCTCCTAATGCCTTTTACATTATATGCATACCAAATTGCAGAGTCAGGACTATCCTTGTCTTTTCTTACCATTTCACTAGAAGCACAGTGAAACACAGAGACAGAGTCGCGGCGAGGTCGAACATAAAGGGATTTCGCCCTGAAGACTGCACATGGAATTTCTGCAAGGAGTTTCTACTATTTCAAAATTTTGCAATGTTTGCAATTGTAAAAACCCGAATCCTGACTACTATTTTCGCCCAGTTCTTAAATAAATAAATATCATTTTATTACCACATTAAAAAAACATATGTACATATTATAAACTAAATACTTCATGTTAAATAAATCTAGGCAATCGGAGGTGACTCAGCTTATGCTTACATGGGATTAAGATCCCATGAAGCGCCGGTTTTAACGCACTCCTTCCTCTACTCATCTAATATTAATGCGTATGTGCGTGCGTGCGTTCGTGCGTGCGTGCGTGTGTGTGAGTGTGTGTGTGTGTGTGTGTGTGTGTGTGTGTGTGTGTGTGTGTGTGTGTGTGTGCGTGTGCGTGTTTTTGTGCGTGTGCGCGTGCGTGTGCGTGTGCGCGCGCGCGCGCGTGTGCGAGTGCGCGTGCTCGTGCGCGTGCGCGTCTGCGTGCGTGTGCGTGGGCGTGGTCGTGGGCGTGGGCGAGTGCGCGCATGTTCGCGTGCGTGTGTGTGTGTGTACTTAGATAGTACTGATTAAGATAAGCTTAGCTTTCTCGTATGTAAGAGCTTTTAGCCACTCTATTAAGGCTCGTTTACATGTATGGAGCAACATAGGATAGATATTTAGTTTAAAATTCAATTTATTATATATATACGTTCATTGTGTGGTATACTGACGTCTGGCAAAAACAGTATGGACCCTAGGGGAGTATGCCACAATATCTTTGCGTCTTCTATCCAGGTTAGCTAGAGTATATGAGAGTGTCTAATGCAGGTGCAAGGTTATGTTTAAGAGGTATAGTTTTCTGACCGTAAGTAACACTTATATTCTCATTTCTATTATCACATTTATCTGAAGATAATAGAATCATAGATCAAATGCAAAAACAATATACGTGCAGGTGGGTGTGAAAGGGACAAAACGTGTCACTCGCGCTCACTCGACATTTGATGGTACTTCAACAACCGAAGCGGTTGCCGAAGCCGAATAAACGAGAGGTTACATTTCGTTCTGATCGCTCGTTCCTGAAACGTGAATCGTGTTACTGAGTGGAACGTCTACTGTAAGAGATGGTTTCGTTGGACTGCAATAACCCGCTACCCGCTATTGTATGAATAGATAGTTTCAATAAGTGGTTACGTTTTGTAACGACCACTCCAACTGCCAACCAAAGAGAATATAATCACTACTTCTACTAAGAAACGGAAAAAGGACTTCGTAAGAAAAAGTAAATGTATAAAAGGGCGCCAAGCTACTCTGCCAACATCAAGATGAACATTTAATTTTTGACAAACGGAGCCGACAACATCGACGAATTATAATAGTGCTGTCAATGTCTATCCTCCAATAATTTTATCGATATAACGTTTATAAATATATTGTTTATTGATATTTACATAATAAAGGTTCGATCTCTATACTGAATTATTTATGCGAAATATTTTTTTTAACATGGGGATTGAGTAAAAATACTAATGAGGATAAGAAATCAATGTATTTTACACACAGCAATTTTTAATTGTATCTCTACAATTATTAGGTACAAAAATATGTATAAAGAAAATATAAAATAAAAAACGCACGATTATATTAGAAATTAATTAAGTAAAAAATAAATAACGACTCCGTAGCGCAGTGGCTAAGCGTTTGACTGCAGCACTGCAGGTCCGAGGGTTCGTTCTCGCACTGAACAAGTGTTTCTATGCTGTAAAATAAATAGTATGCGTCTGAATGCTAATTTACAACGTTAGATTTTTAAAAGAGTAAAAATATTGGGTTTTTGAACACTGATTGGATTCTATTGCTTTTAAGTGTAACAAATACTATGTACAAATCTCTAGGCTTCTTCACAGAAGTACATACTACTCGCGGAGACCGTTTACTAATAGTCGGTTTCAAAATGAGTGCTCATTATAGCTAATGTTTGTAGATGAATCTATAATAAAATTATAATTAGGGAATTACAAATAACTTTGAGTTTAGTTATATAATTAAATACTTACCAAAATATGACTTTAGAGGGATATTATCTTTTGATACATGTAAGTGACACCTAATTAATATAAACATAATTTTGGAAGTTTTAATTAAGTCCACTGATGGAATAATAATTCGTTTTAGTTGGGTTCGAAATCCTTGGATTTGCAATATTTGCCACAAATATCTTTTAACATGTGAATCTTTTCAATTGTGCATGTGACAAAATAATATAAATAAAATCACATTTTTATTGATCGAATAGAATGTTAGCAGTCACAATTGATAATGTAGTTTCTAAGTATAGTTCGTTTCGAGCAATCAGATTTTGGAAATAGTGCGCTTGTATTTGTGCACGCAATCGTACACTATAAAAACCTGTCCTATGTAGATGGCTAGTCTAAAAATGTAGTCGCGTTAAATATCATATTACAATTAAAGTTGAAATCATATCATCTAAGTGAAATATTGATACGAATAGCCTTTCCTTGTTATTATTATTTCCGCTTCTTACACCATTTAACTGGCAAGTTAAATGGTATAAGAAGCGTAGCCAGAGGCTAAAATAAGGATTGGCCTCTTATTTTAGCCTCTGGCATGACCAGTTGACGTTTTATAAACCTGGCAGTATCGGGGTATTAAGAATGGATTTCATTATGGCAATTTAAAACGCCGAAAATGGCAACCCTAGGTACTTCGCCACTTCACTTCGTACTTCTAGTGTTATGTTTGTATCACATTCAATAAACAACTTTAAAACTATGGATGAAGTTGATAATTTTAAACCGAGTATTCGTAAACACGAGTTAATGGTTAATATTTCAATCAGTCATAGAAGAGACGTACTTTAGTTTGGTATCGCATTAGATTTCGTGGTGACAATATCTTGTTAGCAATAGTAATTATTGGTGGTGGTGATGAAGCGAAAATATGAAAGGGCGTATAGAGCGGAGTGGAAGCAAGATCCTTTACTTTCATCGTGCATCTTCAAAGCTAAAGATGATCAGATCCAAATTGGCATCCCGGCTATCCGCTTTTAAGGAGCATGCCGCTGCTAGTAAATATAAAAAAACCATCCGTGAGTGTCGTGGAAAACTCGATTGGAACGAAGTTCCTTTCGTAGTATATTATTATTGATAAACGTATTATATTATTGATTAACAAATACAAATAAATGAATTACTAGCGGCTATTAAAGTCGGCAGTATTTAGGCATTTTTCACTACAGACTGGCAGGATTTGGCAGGTTTATAACCAAAGTAAGGCAGGATCTGTATTTTAAAGATGGTCACACTGCTGGTATGTGGTATCGCTAAGCTAACTGTCAACCTAAGGGTATTAGTGTTCTGTGACTGTCAATCTGTCAACTTTTACAAGCACAGTGTACGGGTACTTTATCTTACTACTTTATTTAATTATATTACAACGATCTAAACAGAAAAGGTGAAAATGGTTGAAGCTCAAAAGTACAGAATAGAACAGGAGATGACAAACTTGGTTAATGAATTAGACAGAAGTTATTTAAGAAAAATGCAGGTAAGATTTTTAGGTTATGATATCAATTTGAATCTTATGCAACTTGTACAAGGCGTTCATAACTATATAATTTTACATTTTTTAAAGTAGATGTAAAAGAAAATATTATTCCAGCTATGAAAATTTATTAATCACTTATGTCCCAAAAAGTCTCCTCCTGTTTAAAAAAAAACAGAAGGGGTTTTTTCAGATCCTTCTATTTACATTTAACTACTAGTCTTTGTCATAATTACTTTTAATCAATATATTTTAGTCAAAACTACTATTGCTTAATTTTTTTTAGTCAAAATATGTTTGACTGTTTTTGTTGGTCAAAATTAGTTTAGACTGACAGGCAAATAAAAAAAAATTATATATAATAAAATGTCTATTATGTGACAGGGCGATTATCTGAAAAGGACGAAACTACTCGGCGAAAGGAATATTCCTACTAAATTTCAAGTCTAGACCTTATGGTTCTAGATATATTGTAATGAGTCAGTATATAATATGAATATTTTAATTGATGCCCTCACAACTCCCCTTGAACTTTACTACTTACTGTATATTATGTTATTTTTTTTACTGTGCAGTGGTGGTGTAAGAATATCCACTACCCCATATCTCCCGTGGGGTGTCATGAGATACTAAATAGTGAACCGAATCAGGAGAAGGGCAGCAGCATCTTCGTAATAATTACAAAATAAAAAATCTGGTTGACAACCGCTTGCCAAGTGTGGCAACTATGGTAAATGTTCCCCCTATGAGGCAATCTATGGGGGAGGCCTATGTTCAGCAGTGGACTAATAACACAGAATAAATAATAGTACCACATACAGAAGTTGCACTCCTTTGATGTTGACTGCTTGCCGACTTTTTAATAGTCTACATATTTATTATTAATCAGATAAATCGCGCACGCAAGCTATATAAAACTATCGCTGCATGCGAAGGTCCGTATTACTTTGCATCTTTTCTCCTTACTACGTCACAACGGACTTTCCATGGTTGCTAAGGACTATTAATAAAGAGTAAAAAAATACATTGTGAAATGGTAAGTTACTTAGGTAAAGTATCTATGCTGACTATAATCGACAATATTATCTACTATGAGAGTTCTGTGATGCCCAATGCATGCAACTTGCAAGGCCATTCGTCGGGAATCACAATGCTAAGTTCATATAGGTAGATAGTGTAAACAATAAATAAACCCGAAATATGATTCCTAACAGAAATGTGAACATATTCTACAAGTTAACAAAGTTTTAATTTCATTGTTTTGTGTTATTATAACTTAAAATATTTTAATTACAAAAGATAAGTATAGGAATATAAATAGGTATTACTACTGTAGTTAAATTATTACTTAATTATTTTTTCACTTTAACTTAAAAAATTATATATCTGAACCCTTTTATTTGCTCAATAAGCATCCATCCCTGGAACAATTGTAGTAGGAACAATGTTTTGCCATTATAATTTATGAAATAGATAGGTAATATACATATATATTATTCTTAAATTACATAAAAACTTTTTCAACTATTTTATCCTACGATTAAATATACTAAACAAAAACTATTTCCATGAGTATTCAAAAACTATTTACATAAATGGCGTTAAAAAACATTAACATTCAATCACCTGGAACCCTTGCCTGATAACGTCAGAAAAACATCTAACAATCAATTCAGTCAATTTGGTTACCTTTGTTATTTTACTTATAGGTTTATGTTATATATCTATATGTATTTATAATATGTATATATTTATGTATCTATGTATTCATATGTAAATATAATATATTGTCTGTATTATATTTTTATTTTTTATTTTATTTATTTAAAAGGACACCCAACAAGACGAACACTAATACATGGATATTAAGGTAACATGAATATAAAACTGAAGCTAAGCGTCATCTTAATTATAGGCTGCCACGGCATGCAAATGTGGACTATGCAAATAAAACTTAAATAGGTTAGTTAATACTAAGCAAATGAAAACTTAAACATTTTAATCATCATTTAACAATCATTATTTTTATATGTTAAAAAAAAATCAAACAATAGATATAGATACTTGAATCAAACAGACACCATTGACACGAGAAACTGACCGAGCTTGCGTCTAAATTTCAACGGCTTGTCAGAAAAGATGTCGATGTTGTCAGACCTGTGACCTAAGCTACTTTTGGCACCTTTTGGTGAAAATGGAATGTACGCGACGCGGCAACTTGTATGGGATATTAAAATTGACAGATCGCAATAACGCAGGGCAGTCAATGAGGCCATTGATATTCTTATAAAAAAGTAATTGATCCAAAAACAATCTTCACCCTTGTAGGCTAGTCATTTTAAAATAGGCAAGACATTCCTTATATGAGGGCAGCAGTTTGGATTTGTTAGATTGGTAGGATAGGTGCCAGAGAAATCTCTTCTGTATTCGCTCGATTCGCTTAATATGGACCTCATAATGTGGGGACCAAACCTGACTACAATATTCCAAACCCGGACGAACCAATGCCAAATACAGGAGAATTTTTGTTGAGGGCTTTTTGAATTCCTTTGCATTCCGCAGCACAAACCGTAGCATCTGGAAACCTTTTGTTGCGACTTGGTCAATGTGTTTGTGAAAGCGTAGTCTTTTATCCATAATGACGCCCAAACCGCGAATAGTATATAAGTTTATTATATATATATATATATACATATATACATATATATATATATATATATATATATATATATATATATATATATAAAATTAGTTTATTTTTAAGTTTATCAGTAGTTTTTCCTTGCTTTACTCTATTGTTCATTTTATTTTACGTATCACTTAATTTCCACACATCCCAGGTTGACTGGGAGAGAATGCCTAAAGGCATTAAGTCCGTCCTTTGTAATCCGTTTATTAAGGTGCAATAAAGTGTAAATAAATAAATAATAAACCCGCTAGCCCCGAATGCGTTCTGCCCCGGGGGCGGCTCACGATTGTAGGTAATTATTTCACGCAGGTAGCAAGAGTGACAGAGGCCTGGTGATAGTTTGTAACAGTAACTGGTATTTCTGTTAATTTAATATTCCTCATACAAGCTAAGTTTTATAAATAGAAAGAGCAATGAAATGTGTTTGTTTTTTTTTATTTTAGGGCGATATGCACAGATGTGCAGCTAAATGTTGTGACGATCAACAGACTTCACTTGAAAGAGTACATGGATGCATTGAAAATTGTACAATTTCCCTTAACCAAGCCAATAATTATGTACAGGTATGTACAGACATAGATAGTATAAATAAAGCTAAATTAATAATGTTTGTGTGTATTGTAGGATTTTTCAAAAGTAAATAAAGTAAGTTTGCTTGTATAGAATATGCCTTTTATGATATAACAAGAATTTAGAATATGAAAACTTAAGATTAACTTAATTGTTTTCACGGTTTAATTGTGGTCACGGTACTAAAAGCTGTGGGTTTGAATCCCACATGGTACAATTGTTTGAATGGCCCACAAATAATTATATATATATATATATATATATATATAAAGGAAAATACATAGGAAAATAATAGAAATATATACCTAACAACAAAGTCTTATTAGACTTGACATTTTTGAAATGTAACTATACAGCTACATTTCAAAAATGTCTAGTCTAAATCACTCGCCCCAAAATAAAACGAATGGGAAGTAGCATGGGATGGGAAGTAATATGGGTGAGTGTACTGAGCACTGTATATACGAGCACTTAAAACAGCCTCTCCAGCAGTGAATTAAAAAGCTTTTAAAATAAAATACAACAACATCACAAACACCAGTAGTGTTGCTGATCTCTGCCACAGATAAATGTTGTGTACAAGTCATTCTGTTTAAATCACTTTTGATTCTAAATAGATTGTGTTATTATATAATCATATTAATGTGACAAATTATATACTTACTATGTAGTGGTGGTGTAGGAATATCCACTATGCTTTTTCGTCCATTTGGATGCCGTATGAAGCTGCAGAAGGAAACAAACTAGGAAATGGATAGCAGTGTCTTGCTAATCATAACTAAAATACCAAAAACTTCAGTTGCAAACATGCCTACCAAGCATAGCACCTTTGGCAAATATGAGATACTAGCTGTTCCCCGCGTCCTCGCTCGCGTGGTAGGGTTTTTATGTTTTTGCGCGGAACCCTAATTCGTTTTCTAAAATAAAAGTAGCCTAAGTTACTCCTTATGAAATCAGTTTCTGCCAGTGAAAGTCCCGTCAAAATTGGTCCAGCCATTACGGAGATTAGCCGGAACAAACAGACAGACAGACAAGAATTTTAAAAATTATATTTTAGTTATAAGTAGCGTATTTACTTTCATATGCATTTAGTAAAAAAACTGCAATTTTGACATTACAAACAGACACTTCAATTTTATTTATTTGTATAGATGAGACAATCTACGAGTAGCCTTATGTTCAGCATTGGACTTTGATAGGCTGTAATGAATGATTTTCTTTTAAGAGTGGCAAACGAGTACACAGTCCATCTGATGGTAAGTGGATGCTGTGGACATCTACATTTAAGAATCAAAATGTGGATACATTGTCACCCCTGAGGATTAACACTTTCGCTGTCCCGTGCACTACATATAGGTCATTGCAATTGTTTTACTATTGTGTCTGAAAACTGGACAGTGAAAGTGTTAAAATGGAATGCTTCATTTCCAGTAAAAAGTGTCTCCGGTTCTCTACACTCACAATATGAAACACAGCAGCATTGAGTTGCTATTTTATGCTGGTATTCTGTGGTTAATGAATTAATAACACTTCTAAAATTATTTTGACTTTATTTGCTTTCTTCTCTGTTTGTGTGGTCAATAAACATTTTGCGATCAAGTTTAAACTAAATTCTCCAATAGCTATTAAAACTTTAAATATATAATCAGACGACAATTCAATTTAAATGCATATTTTCTGTCTGTTTTTCTGTATGTTCAGTACAAATTTTTGCAATCGATTTTAAACTTACTTCTGTTGATCTAGAGACTTGAAACTTTATACAAAGCTAAGCAGTGGAAACATGGTAAAAAATTTATCGCCATTTTGAATTATAGTTATTTATTTATTAACATCTAGCTGTCTCCCGCGACTTCGCCTGCGTGAAATTTACTACGATTTCATGGGTTTTAATTTTTTTACGAGGAACCCTAATTCTTTTTCTAAAATAAAAGTATCCTAAGTTACTCCTTATAAGATCAGCTATCTGGCAGTAAAAGTCACGTCAAAATCGGTCCAGCCGTTTTGGAGATTAACCGGAACAAACAAACAGACAGAAAATTTAAAAAAGTGTATTTTTGTCAAAAATTTAAAAAAAAATTTTGTACTGTATATATATTCTTGTTATTTTAGCATTACAAACAGACACTTGAATTTTATTTATTTGTATAGATATAGATTATTAATTAATTATTTACAGGGTGAGATCAATCACTTCCAGAACAGATTACAGCGCTGTGTTATGGACTGTAATGATTCAGCTAGGGATAGATTAGGACCAGATCCTAGCCAAGAAACTGTAAGATGTTTTTTCATATTTTATTTTAACTTAGAATTTTTTTAAAATACGCCATAAATTTCTGTCAGGAAATCACAAGTGCAAGATGGATAAAACCCTCGTATTGGTCAAAAATGAGTTATACAATTAATAAAAAATAATTTCTATCAGAGTGGCCACTTTAGCTAGCTACGAAATTGTCCATCTTATTACAAAAAGTATTTCATAATTAGTGTCAGGTCTGTGGCGCCGTGGCTGAGGGACTTTTTTCGTGAGAAAGACTTTAAGCTATGGTGGATATGGAGACTATTAATAAAACATATTTTAATAAGATGGTAAGGGCTTACACCCTGTCTCCATGAAACATTTAGAGACTTTGATTATGTTAAAAATTTACAAATTTTTTGAGAGACTTAAATTTGCGTAATGTTCTGAGAAGACCATGCCCTCTAGAACTGACTATAATTTGTAGTCCAACAAGCTAAGAGATTTTATGAATTCGGAACACATTGTTCTTAAGTCTGATTTGAGTTGACCATTTCTTGTGATCAGGAGCAAAATGACAATGTGTATGCTATACTTTGTCATTGACTTACCAGAATTTTGTTGACATACCTGTCAATAGTGCAACACATAAACAAAACACCGATTCCCAGCTTTTGGAGGGTCTTAAAAGTGATGAACGGCTCCATACCCTCTTTGTGCATTGCAACCAATGCAATATAGTTTTTTTTTAATACCATACTCCATGACCTATTTAAACAATGGCGTGAAAAATAACTTGTGAAATGAATAAACATATGAACTTTATTATTAATTTTACATTTCAGGTTGATAAATGTACCATAGAATTTGAGAAATGTGCAGTCAAATGTGTGGACAAGCACATGGCACTGATCCCAAATATGATGAAAACCATGAAGTCTGTACTAGCGAGTGGTAAACCACCTCCAGTGAAGAACAACTAGAACAAAACTGCCACACGCATTGCTTATTATGTTTAGCAGTGTGTTGATAAAGACTTCTGTGACAGTAAATTAATTTTGTCACTAATATCAGTTATGAACCTGTTAATTGAATTCATTTTGTGAATTACAAAACGGTTTATTTATATGTACGCAAATAGTTAAGAAGTTGACTATCAATAAAATTATATAAATTCATTAAGTAGTGAAATAAGACTTCATCACCATATTTTTATATGCTAGAATTTTTTTCTTTAAAATGTGCTATGTGCACTTTGGGTTAGGATTAAATATTTTGGAAAATTTGATACACGGTACACCACTGGGACTTGCCAACGCTGCTGGTAGAAAATTGATAGCGATAAGGTGGTACACTATTTGTTCAAGCTTGCATTTGATCAGTTTTTAGTAATGTTATGAATTATCAGCTGGACATAGAACCTTCCAATAAGGCCCTTGCTGGCATATATCACTTGGAATATCTATCCAAAATTACCATATTATTCAACCAGATTTATGAGCCCAGTACTGAAACACTTGCACTGATAAAATGCTACTGACCACAAGTCTGTGAAATTTTGATTTGGATGCATTTTCCTTCAATGTGTTGCTAGAGGCTTTGAGGCTCTAAGTGTCAGATGACTGTCTCAAAAGATTGTATGTAAGTATTACTACTATACTTCAAAACTTAATTATAATAGATATAGTGTACCATGTAGTGGAGGCGTAAGAATATCCACTAACCCATATCATCATGTGGGTGTCGTAAGAGGCGACAGAGGGAGCAGCGTCTTTCTAATAACGACTAAAATAAAATACTGCGGTTGACAACCCGCTTGCTAAGCATGGCAACAATGGCAAATGGCTCTTATGAGGCAATATATGAGGAAGGCCTATGTTCAGCAGTGGACTTAAATTGGCTTTAACGGTAACAGTACAATAGATGTTTGCTTAGATGTCACTGTTAAATGTTTATAGCTATGTCTACAAAAGTGCGCTTTCCTGTTCATCTTGCGTCTCCCTCTAGCGTTCATCGTGCGTCTGCCTGAACTATCAAAACGCGTGCAATAGCGCATACGCTAAAACTAGTTCCACAACAGCGCATGCCTCTAGCGAACGCTGATGGGTTCGCATGCAACGTTTCGTGCATTTTAGTAAACAAAATAGCGGAAAACAAAGTTAGAACATTAGATAATGAGTGTTGTGTTTCGTAATTTTTGGCTCCACTACATTCAAAAGCTTGTAGAAAGTGGCTTTAGTCATTCGTGTGAAATTTTTAAAAATAATGTTATTGTATAGCTCTAAACATTTCAATATGTTGTTGTTCCGTTTCTTAAAATAATCTTTCATCCAGGTTCTCTTTTTTCCCTGCACTTAACACAAAATATAATAGCTACTAGTGCCGCGTCTATCTCTAACCAAACCTAACCGTGGCGCGTGATGTATAGACGAGTTGCATGAGACAAGTGCACGGGTATAGACGATAAGCTGCATGCGTCTTATGGCACAGCGCTTGCCGCAAGACGAACCAAAAAAAAGTTAAAACGCAAAATGAACATGAAAGTGAAATTGAAAACGCACTGGTGTAGACATAGCTATTAGTTAATGATGTTCATATAACCTTTGCCATGGTGTACACATTTAAAATTAAAAATAATTGCTGCCTATTTAAGAAAAAATACAATATTTATTAACATAATATTAATATTGATTTAAAAAATTACACATTTTTATTCAAACGATTTTTATCACTAACCAAAATAAGTATCTGTAAATTCAAATCGGCAATTTTCAAAATGTTAAGGTAGGTATTGCCTACTTACCTTATTTATTTAGTAATAGCTCATAGCGTGTAACACATTGTTAACGATACATTGTGTGATTTACCCATTACCTGTGAAATAATCACAATAAAAAAAAATAGACAGTTTTCTTATGACATGTTTATAAATGTGGATTTCGAATAAATGAATGTATGGAACAAGTGGGATGCGGGAAGTAAAGACTGTGTGAGAACCTCCGAAGGAGGCGGAATTTCCTAAATCCTTTTTCATTTTCGTTTGTCGTTCGCAAACTAGGGTGCGAAGAGTTAAGAATATGAAAGATCGCTTGGGCCGAGTGAGTGAAGGGAGTACACGTGCACACCTCATTTTAATGCAAGTCGCTTCACGTGTGCGTGGCGGTTGCGGGTGTAGCTGCGCGTGTACGTCGCTACAGCGGAGCTGCCTGCCTAGTCTGCGCTGTAAAAATAATGACGGTGTACAAATGGCGACCCCTGTGCAGTCCCAACGGTGGTTACTGTCCCCACTGTCGCCACAGTGCACACGGCGCCGCCGGTGCCCGCTGTGCCGCAGCAACAACAACAACCGCAGCAACAGCCACAACAACAACCGCAGCAACAGCCACAACAACAACAGACGCCGTTACTGCCGCGTAGAGGACTTTCACTTATTAGGGAACAAATGCTGGAAGCACAGGATATGTTCCGAAACGCGAATCGTGTTACTAGACCAGAGAAGGCACTTATCCTTGGCTTCATGGCCGGCTCCAGGGATAATCCATGTCCGAACCTTGGCAACATTGTGACGATTAAGCTGTCAGAGAACATAGAGAATGTACTACAGTCAGATGACACGTACCTAACGATGCTGTCAGAGATGCACTTCCAGATGAATTACAACATTTTTAAAGCATTTTTCATTAAAACATTTAAGCGTTAAAACATTTTTCAAATTTCTACGTGGTAGAGCCATGCTGCAGCTATATTATGGTTGTAGCACGAATGGGTCGGCTCGACCGGGGAAGGACCACGCTCTCACAGAAAACCAGCGTAAAATAGCAGCTTAACGCTGCTGTGTTTTGTATGGTGAGTGTAGAGAACCGGAGACCCTTTTTACTGGCAAAGAGGCATCCCATCTTAGTCCTCACGGGTGACAACGCATCTGCATCTTGAGTCTTTATTGAGATAGATATAGATGTCTATGGGTTACAGTAACCACTTACAATCAGGTGGACTGTGTGCTCGTTTGTCACCCGATCCTATATAAAAAAAATTGTAGCCGAAATAAGAATTTTTTTTTTTGATTTTTGCATTTTGACCCCCTAGGAGTGTAATGAGAACTTTTTGCCCCTTTCAACCATAACCCCTATGACATACTCTACATGATAGGCTATTCAAACTGACTATGCCTAAATTCGAGCCACCTCTCAATTTTTTGGTTTTTGACCATTTTGACCCCCTAGGAGTGTAATGAAGAACTTTTGCCCCTATTCAACCATGACCCCCATAACCTATCATGTAGAGGATGTCATCCTCTACATGATAGGCTATTCAAACTGGTTAGGCCTAAAGTTCGAGTCACCCTCAACTCATTTCTAAAGTCTTTACTTCAAAAAATATTTTCTAACAATTTGATACTTTTTATAATAAAATATTCGTATTAATTATTGTTAATAAGCAAACACCTTGTATTTTATTCAAACGGGTTATACCTATTATAAGTTTATGTTACTCTCTGTTACCATTATACGTACATTCAATTGGATTTCGTCCTCAAATTGTGTTAAACTTCATGCTAAACTGGGACTGGGAACCGTGATTTTATGCTGGTGAACTTCAAACTTTTTTTTTCGTATAAAATAAAGGTCTATATTGTTATTGTATTGGTTTGTACTGTACTTTTACTGTGTATTGGTTTCAATTACTATCTTTAAGATTTCTACATCTTGAAGTTTGTAGTCAATTCTAAGTACCAACCAACTTAGTAAAGTACCACTTGGGCAGATACAATATTTTATCAGGTTTTTAATAGTATTCAACAATCAATGTTAACAATTATTGAAAACTAAAACATAAGTGTATCACCGTTGAATCACTCGTAGGTTTTATGTAAATATTCGAAAGAATAAAATTGATACAATGTTTCTGTACCAGGTTTTCTATATCATATTCAAATAAGATATCAATTTATTTTAAAATGTTTGATATAAGATTTCACTATACAAGTATGCTTGAGGCTTAAAAATAGAAAAAAAAGTGTGCCAATGGATAACTGTATTGAATAAATGTATGTGATAAATATTTGCTATTTAATTCATTTTAGTATATATGTACCTTATTGTACTTTAATTAATGTAGGACGAAGAATTTGTTAAAATAACACAGGATCGTTATTGTTTATGTGAGATCACATGTTTCCTTTCTATATTTACTTGTTAATTTAGATTGTTTAATCGTTTAGAAATAAAGATGTTTTAAAATATAACTGCATTTTCTCAAAACTAATTAATTGTGAATAACTGTGGCTCGGCAAAAGCGATCTCATCCACCATAGTCAAAATTAAGACATAAAGAATCATATAATTCTGTGTATCCCTTTGCGAGAAATCGGTGTATGCGTACCAAAACAAAAAAATACCGGTACGCTGCGAATAAAGAACCTAATTTTTGTAGACTGTTACCGCTATATAAAAAACGACCCTCCAGAAAGTCCTATTTTTTTAAGCACTAAAATATAAACATTATCTTATAAAGTATGATCATCATTTGCATGTTGTATATACAAAATGCATCATATTGTATAAAAGCGTCGTGTTGTCCATTTCTTTCAGTTTAAGTGCAGGAATTAGAGTATATAGAAATATAGTATCTACGGTTGGAACTCTTTTCTTACATTCACCTTAAACATTGAGAACAAGTAAAATATCATAAAAATCTTGTTACTATGATAAAGCAAGCGGTGATGAAAAGAAAGAAATTGTGATGGTCGTCGCAGATCGCAGATTTATCAAAAATAATGCTTTCGAATCAGCGCCTCCTATGTCAAATTTTGTTTATGAAACAAAAATTTATGTTGGCTCTATCACGGGGAAGTTTAATATCAACCGAAAGATGTCACTGATGAACATAGAACTCCTCCATAGATTGCCTCATAGAAGATAGTTGCCACGCTTGGCAACCGTAGTTTTAGGCTGGTTTCACAGTTGTACGGGTAGCCCATAAT